AAGGTTGTGCCTACTTTGTCCTGCGCTTTACTCGGGCATGCCCAAAAAAATTTTTTTAATTAAAAAAATAAAAAAACTCACAGCAACAAGTTGTGTTAAGGATTCAAATAATCTTTAAAATAAATCGCCTGATCATAAATCTGACAAAAACTTACTCTTCTTTATCGCAAGTGAAAAGGCCATTAACAATGTAGATTCTAAAAGAAAACTTATAAAAATTAAAAAGGAAGAATAAACCTGTAGTGTTCAACTTTGTAATTGTGAGCTACACAAAGGGTGAAATCGCCTAAAATTAAAAAATTGAGAAAGTCAAGTCAATTATATAGTCAATTTGGCAAGGCTCGAAAAACCGTAAATGCCCTAATAGAAGCCCCGGGCCTTTATTTTTCAATTCTAGTTCGAAACACGAAATTGACTTTGGCACACAGCGATTTCCTTACTTTTCAGTTGCCACCAGAAAACCCTTAAAAATCCAAACCTGGATAATTTTCAGATCGCCTGATCAAAAAAGTGCCGTTTGAGCATGGACGCAAACGCCTTTAAAAACAAAAACTAATTAAAAATTAAAATAAAATTTTCTTACTTTTCAGTTTCTTCACGAGACAAGGACTTGTGGAACCATTGAGCTAAAATATAAAATTTAAAACCGAATTTAAAAAACAAAAAAACCTTGTGAATCCACCGGATCCAAATTTATTAGATTGGAATGATTCATCTCATAAGTGATTCATCTCTTCAAAAAAAGCTAAAAAAAAACTAAAAATTTAAAAAATTCCCCCTTTAAATTTAGCTTGGCGAAAAGTTTAATAAATTTATGACAGTTAGTCCGCGGGAGAAATGGCAAGTAACGCAAAACGTCACAAAATGAAGGAAAAACTAAAAATATTAAGAGAAAACAAAAACTGAGAATGGTGGGACAAAATGTCACTCCGAAAAAGTGGGACAAAATGTCACCCCTCACTTTTGGAATTGATCCCCCAAAAAATTACAAATGAGAAAATAAAGATGGGTTTGAACCCATATTGGCAATTAACACCCAAAAATTTTCTTCAAAAATTTAATTAAAAAACAAGGGAAAAAAGAAAAACGAGATCAAGACAAAAATTTAAAGAAAATTAATTGGGCAAACTTTTTTTTACTTCTTTTCCTTCTTTTCCAACACTTTTTCTGTTTTTTCTGTCCCTTCTTCATCCTCATCCCCTTCAAAATATACATCATATAATGCATACACAATCAAAATTAACAGTGATGTGAGGGAGACGATTAAAAAGTAGCCATATCCGTTGTATATATTCTCCTGAAAATTTGAGGTGATTAAATGATAAGAAAACGGTGATAAGAAAAAATACCTTCGAAATGATCAGCTTTTCTAGTTTTGCCATTATTCAATCCAGAAGAATTTTTGTTTAGTCGAAAAACCAGAGAAAAACCCCTAAAAATTCGAACAAATCATTTTTCTCTAAAAACTCTCTCATTTTTCCACACTATTTTTCTGCTTCTGTATTTTCTAGACTGCAATGTTACGTGTTGGTTAGAGAAAAATAAAAGTCAAAATAGTGTTAGAAAACATTAAAAATGGTTAGACAATTTTATAATTAATTCGATAAAAGAGAGAAGCGAGAAAAGCGCCGCTCGCACTTTCTAAAAATAAACGTACATTCGCCGTCGTTTTTAGTGGCGACCTACGCTCATTTTAAAATAGATTGGTCTATGATGTCTGCTCGCTGCGAGCTATTTCTCGTTTTCCCTCTGTTCGGCGCGTAGCGGCGAGCAAATTTTAGTAGTTAGTCGCTAGCGAGTGGCGGCTTTCGCCTTCCCTCTTCTCTCTCATTCGTCCATCGTTAACGGCTGACGATTTTTTTTGAGTCGTCTATCGCTGGCGTCTGTAAAACTTGTCGGTTATTTTGTATAAGCAGACAAGGCTATTTTTGGCCAATTCTTTGATTCTGCCGTTTTTTGATTGCCTTTTTGGATTTTGACATTTTTATGTCTGTTAGCTCCTTTTTGTCAATCGCTCGTTATTTTGGCATAGAAATAAACCCAATTCCTTATTAAGACAATCAGGAGGGCAACGATCGAGTTGATTCTTTCTTTCTGTATTCTAGAGGAACGAGCTCCCCAATCAGCTCCTCAAAAAATTCAAACAAAACTGCTTTTGCAAGTTTAGCGGAAGCACAATTTTCGTCCAACCAAGCGACTATTGATTGATTTAACTGCAAAGCGAAAAGAACATTACCTTGTGAAAGTCCCTTTTTATTTTTTTACAAAATCCTCACAGAATTTCTATTTTTTTTATTTTTCTTTTCTCAGACTTAATTCTGTATGTCTAATTGGAATGACCTCTCAAGGGAGAGGCTTATTCAGGAATACAAGAAATATCCATGTTTATGGTGAGAGTTTTGTTTTTTTAATCCAGCAAACCCCCCTTTTAAACTTACAACCATTTTAAACCTTCCACCCAAAAGATCAAAACCATTAAAGGTCATTTCCGTCGGAAGTCGACAAAATAAAAGAGAACCCTAAAGATCAACGTTAAAAGACAGTGGTGATCTATTGGGTGTTTTACAAAATAAAAGAGAACCCTAAAGATCAACACTAAATGGTGGTGGTGATCTATTGGGTGTTGCCTTATAATTAAATAATTTAAAGGTCCAGCAGAGATGAGGACATCAAAAATGTCGAGAAAAGAAGAGAATGTTTAAATTTAATAACAACAGAATTAAATAAATACGAAGAAAGGCCGTTCTCGCAAGATGAAATCCGTACCCAATTCAAAAACCTTCGCGACATGTATCGACGGAAAAGGAAAAGGCTCCAGTCTCAGCAAGAAATTAATCCTGGAGTTGTTTTGGACGAACCCGGATGGATTTACTTTAATAGGCTAAAGTTTCTGGATGATGCGACAACGACGAGTAATGCTGATTTTGGACTGTACGTTCCTTTCTTAACAAGGGGGCATGGTCTACTGTATACAAAAATTTGGGATTGTTCTGGGTAGCATTCGTTAGAGGACCCCCATCTTTCTATTGCAAAGTGACTCTTTCTTGCAAGATGACTTTAGGCTGAGTTATGGCCCGTCAAAGATACCCTGTCTTTGATAGGGGAACAACTAAGAAGATCAACACTCCCACAAATGCTCCTTTTGGGATTTGACCTTTAGGGTCGTCTCACTAGGAGTCTCGACCTTCTAGTTGGACTCTGCTAGACCATGTTTCCCTGCAAAATAAATTCTTTTTTTAATTACTAAAATTTTTCAAGTCCAAACGAATCTCCTTCCCCTGCTCCATCTTTACCTCCTCCCAAAAAGAAAGGAAAAATTGTTGACGACTCGTCTTTACCTACACCTTTAGAAACTGATCCACAACCACCAGAAAATAGCAAATCTATTCTTGTTCCCGTAAAAATAGAAAGAGCAACAACAACAGATAAAGAGCAATTAATTCTTTCTTATTCAAAAGACGAGCAACAAATTAAATTAAATCTTCAACATAATGTTGAGGAATGCAATAACTCAAAGAATTCATCATCTTTGCTAGAACCCATACAGAAACAACCAGAAAACATTAATAATAGTGATGGGTTGAATAAAGGTAAGGTTTCTCAATTTTCTGTTCGACATTTTGTCAAATTTCTCCCTTATTGGACATTTTCCATTGTGGGCGTTTTGTGCAATTCTTCCCACATGGGCATTTTGTCAAAATTCCTTTTGGGACGTTTTGTAAAAATTTCTCCCTTATGGGCGTTTTGTCCTTCCTTCGGTTTAGACGTTTCGTTTAATTTTTTCTTTTAGTCTACTCGACAGTTCAACAAACTCCTCTTGATAATCTCGCAGACGCCGCCATAGCTTCCTTCAATCACACTTCAACATCCAAAAACAACAACGAATTACTGATTGAACAGCCAAGACATATTTCTTATATTCCTTGTGAAGACAGCAATACCAACAACGACGAATTTACTTGTTTTGGCCGTTTTATCGCTGTTACTTTAAGAAAGATAGCTGCACATTCAGCTTTGGATGCTTTAGAAGCTCGAAAAGCGATTGGAGATGTTCTCTATGGAGCAGAATTGCGTTCTTTGCAAAAACAATGAAAAATAGAGGGGAGAGGGGTTTTAAATTGTTGATTTTTTTGTTAGGATGAGATGGAAGAGGAATGGTCAAAAGAGTTCACAGGCCGGGTGAAGTAGTTCGAAAACCGGGTATTTTGAGAAAATCCGGTTTTTCGGAGGTAGCCCGGAAACCCCAACCGTGAGCAGGGAGGAAGAACCCGCGGATTCCGGGCCTGAGAATGCGAAAAGTTCGAACTCTAATAATAATGATTATCTCGAGGGGCTTACACTATCTCATCCAAAAATTGTTTTTTTCTTATTCTAATCAAATATTCCCAATATTCCTGATTAATTTTTATCCATTATATTACTCCTTTTTATTTTCCAACCAAAAAAGAAAGCCTTTCATTAAAAGAATACCCAAAGAGAATAAAATTATTAAAATTTTATTTAAATTTATATTAAATACCAAAAAAATGTGTATTTATTTGCAATTTTTTGTCTTTTTAAGAAATAAATTAAAAGGAAAGTATTATTTTTCATCAAATTTTTTCACATTGAAAAAAAGACCAGTCAGGGAGGAAAAACAATTTTTTAAATGAAAACTCTCAATTCCGAGGCAAACTACACATAGAACAATCAACCAAATTCTCTGGATTTAACATTGTACCTATTTTAAAGAATAATAATTAGAGGGTTTGTAGGTTGGAGGGGGAGAGGATTGTTCCAATGAGTCCCTTTTTGAAGGATTACCCATTTTAGACAAATACTTTTAGGACTCTGGTATGGCGGAGTTCATGAACAAGACTGGAGCCAACAGCGTCTAGTAAAAGCCAGAGGGTTATAATTGGGAAAAGGGACAGTGTCATTGCCCAAAATTTATAATTTTTATAACTCCAAAAAATCCCGTAGATATTATCCCCAAGATCCCCCCATTCTCCCAAATATCCCCAAAAATATTCTCAAAATTCCCAAACTAACAATGCTTGCAAGTCCATTCAGGTTGTTGTTGTTGTCCACTAGCTTCATTATTATTATTTCCACTACTTCCCCCAGCAGCCCCAACTCCAGCAACAACATTATTATTTGTTTGACTTGTAGTTGTTGTTGTTTTAATTTTTGTTCGAGGTATTTCCCTTCCAATTTCTCCAATTAACATAATTAATGTTGCAAAATTTGTATTTTCTTGTAACCATTTTTTAGCTTCATTTTCATCTTTTTTAACAACAATTTGAGCCAAATTTTTAATTTCTTCTTTTGAAAATGGAACAAAATTGTTTGTATATAGGAATAGGAGAAAATGAAAATTTGAAGCCATTTCAAGAAATTGATCAGGAAATTTAAACGAATTAAAATATTTGGAGATATCATTTAATTCCTTTAGAAAAAATAAATTTTTTAATAGCGAATAGGAAAGGGTTGAAAGAAGTTTGGATTTAACCCCACCCCGGGGATACACCACAGAGCCGAGGTAGTAGCATTATCGAATCACTGACAATCTCAGAATCAATACGTCAAGAGTTTAAAATGCCTACTCCCTTTTAAATTATGATCAAGTATGTTACGGGTAGGGAAAAAACTCGGATCAGGGTTGATCGGTATTCTCAAAATTTCCTTTAGGATTAGATTCCCGAATCTAAAAAATGTCGGATACCCGTGCCAATCTCATGCTAGATTACTCCCCAAAGAAATATTTAAAAAAAACCTGTGTCTGTCCAATTTCTGAACGATTTTCAACAGGAAATTCTTTTCCTTCTTTTCCACGAGGAAATGTATAATTCGGCACTTTTCGAACACCACACGGCACATCAACAAGTAAATATTCAACAGGCATAGGCCTTCCATCACGAAAAACTTCTTCGCCTCTTTCATTTTTCTCCTTAAAAATTTAATTAATTTTTAGAAAAATTAAATTTAAAAGAAAAACCGTATATTGAACAGAAGTAATGTAATGCTTCTCGTTTAATGGCGTCTCTCTAGCCCAAGCCAATTCAGGATGTGTTTTTGTTGGACATAAAATATTAGCTTCAACCATTGCTGTGCATTGATTGGAGACTTGATATCCATGCAAATCAATTCCTTTTGACTTGAAAAAAGAAAAAAATTTTTATGAGAAAATTTTTGAGAAAATTCTCAGAAATTTTTTCAAAAAGAAATCGAAAGAAATTTCCGAAAAAATTTCAAATTTCTTTATGAAAACTCAAAAAAAACTTCCTTACAGTATTTCCTGACGCAACAACAGTAACAAATTTAGAACCAAAATAACCAGCATCACAATAATTTGTAGCATTTTTAAAATGGGATTGTAAATTACCAGCAGTTATACACTCAGAAGCAGAAAGTAAAAATGAATCCTAAAAATTAAAAAAATGCTCAAAAAGTTAAAATGAACATGCGGGTCAGGGTTTGACTCAAGTTTTCAAAATTTTCGTCGGATCAGGTTTCATGGTAGAAAAATAAGTTCGGGTTACGGGAAACTCGTCCCATCCCTGGATAGCCAAATAGCCCAGCCAAATCAGGGATGAATTGGGGTTTCTAAAACTTGGCTTTTTCTCTCAACCCACCAGCCAATGCTTCCTTAGGTAAGTTAACAATAATTTTCTTAAAAATGGCAGAACAGGAAAAAAAGCCAAAAAATGGGAAAGATATCCCAACAAAAACCCCCAAAAAATTTATTCAATTAAAAGAAACAACCTCATTTCTAATACATTTAACAGTCCCCAATGTCCTCGATTCACTACAAAGATCAGTAAAAATCCAACCAACACGTTTCATTCCCAACCAATCACAAAGTTGATCAACTTTAACATTTAAATTCTTCTTTTCCTCACCATTTTCTTCCCCATTTTCATTAATTTCAAATCCAACAGAATTTTCATTTGAATTTTGTAGAGGTTCATAAATTGCACAAACAACAGCTTTAATCCCCAATGGAACTTCACTAAATTGTTCATATTTTCCAATTAGAAATCCAATACGTTGACAACTTGAATTGCGCCAAAAATTTAAAAATTCGTTTACAATAGAGTCATTTTCAAATTCAATATTGTCAACATGACGAAATGGCTTGAAAAATATAAAAATAAAATTTAAAGGAAAAAATTAATCGGGGATGGGAAGGGACGGACAAACAGTCGGTCGAGTTCGGCCGAAGTCCGGGAAGCCAGAGACATCCCTGGGTGGAGCCAGAGTCCTCTAGGTTCTGACTTTTTGACTGTTCCACGGTTCCTGGAATCGGTTCAGTCTCCTAAACTAGGAAAAACTGGTCTCTTGATTCCAACTGTCGACTGTTCCATGGTTCCTTTCTCACGGGTATCTGTCGACTAACCAGAAAAACACTGGTTGGAGCAGTGTTAATCAATTCTGGGCTGGGTTCCTAATATCGGTCCTCTAAACAGGAAAGGAATGAGGTGGCCATAAAGATTTTTGAGGTCTAAAGGATAATTCAACCCGTATATCACCCGAAAAATATTGATAGAACACCCATTTAAAAAATTAAAATTTAATACCTGTCGAGTAAGCGTAACAGTAGGTGGCCTGCATTCAGTACAAATTCCTTCAGGAAAAGGCCTGTGCCGATGACAATCCAAATTAATTTTGTAATTCAAAGTTTCAAGCATATTTTTTGAACGTGTTCCCTTTCCATGCAAATCAGACAATTTGTGAACATAAGAATGAAAGGACATGTGTTTAATGCCTTTATCTGCCAAATATTTTTCGTCATACGGCTAAAAAAGAGGGAAATTATTTTAAGGAAGACGAGTCTCTAAAGCAAAACAGAATCGGTAGGGTTGAGAAAAGTTGTGCCTGGGGTCCGAATAGGTGCTTCGAAATTTCCCTGGACCAGGGTTCATGTTCGGGTATTGCGAATAATCCGACTCGTTCCTTGGGCAAGACATAGGGACACATTTGTATTTGTTGGACATATGCCTAGACTCAATAATTAAAAAATCACATTCGTTTTTTGGGGAGGATGATTATTAGAGATCGGAATTTCGGAAAACCTGGGCCTGTTCCTGAGTTTGATTTATCGAACCTGTACATAGTCCGGGAAAACCTCAGGCCCAGGAAAAACCCAAAAAGGTCAAGGAATGCCTGGGCCTTGATACAGAAAAACACCAGGTCTTGGCTCAGACCCAGGCCGATCTCTAATGCTTATTTTGCCACGCTTACAATAAAAAATACTTTCCTGCCCAAAGACTAGTCCCTAAGGTAAACAGAATCAAAAATAAATTTAATTAAAAGAAAACCGAACATCAAGAGGAAGACAACCAACACATTTCTGTCTCGGACCATGAGTACAAGAAGTCCCTTCTTTTTTAATTTTACCATCCAAGAGTGAAAGAGCTTGATCTACATCATCAATAACCACCCGTTCTTTTTGCTGAGAGTTCATTGTTTAAAATAAATTAGGTTTCTAAATTAATAAGAGATTTAAGAAATTTCGAATATGATGACTTGTAAACAAGGTGAGGGGAGGATGAAGTAGATCCGACATTCAGAGACCGAGATATAGGCCAACGAAGAAAGAAATCCATAGGGGCAACTTGTGAGGAAATATAAATATGCAAATGATAGGTCCGCGGTGGAACGAGTTATAGGGCTCGAAATGGTCAAAAACCATGGTGGAGGGCGAGAAGGGAGTAGGCTGATCTTTGGGCCAGAAATTCAAATACGCAATAGCTCGGCCGAACAAAAATCCCCTCCACCAACAAGTCACAATACCAAAAAATTAATCCTCAAAATCTAACAAAAAATCTCAAAAAAATTAAAAATTATCAGCAAAAAGCTAATGCTTAAAAAACGAAAAAGAAAAGAAATATTTTTATTCACAAAACAACTAACATTAAAATAAGTATATGATCAATCAAAATGATGATATTGAGAAAAATAGGGTCGGATTTCTTTTCATTTTTCTTTACTTTTATGTTCTCACTTCTTTCCAATTATTTAACCCTCTAACCGCTCTTAAAGAGAAGAATGGCAACTTGGCCCAAGTAGAAGTAGATGAAGTGCTTGGTCTCATGCCTGAAAATTTTAAATGTCAAGGAAATGTCAGAATGTCAAGGAAATGTCAGAATGGCGGAGAAATGTCAAATGTCAAGGAGATGTCAAACAGATGTCAGAATGTCAAAAAATTTTCTGACATACGCCCAGATCCTTGGAAAAACTTTTCAGAAAAACTAACGTGACATATGACCCAAAATTGCGCCCAACAATGCAATGCCATGTCGGGTTGAACTTCTTATCGAATTCCTTCTTGATATAGGCAGCAATGTCCTTCTCGATATTATACCTGAAAAAATTTCAAAAAATTTTCAAAAAAATTTTCAGAAAATTTTTTTGGTTCCCCTTACTTCTCAAGAGCCTGAGTTGCACAATCAATCGCCTCAGTTTGCATTTCCTCCGTCATATCGGCATTTTTAATAACTGCCTTTCGATCACCCATTTTTTTCTTTGGCAAAAAAGTTTTTTGGTCGCAAGAAAATATAAAGAGAGTCTCTGAAAATAAAAAAAATTTGAGAGATTAGAAAAATGTTAGAAAAAAAAATCAAAAAAAAATATCGAATGAATAAAAACAACGCGGAAGTCGGCTTTTATACCCGCCCGAAAATCGATGTGTGACGAAATGCGAAATTTTGCCCTTCTGACCGAAGTGAAATGAGACATTTTGTGATTTTTAACCGAGTGGACGTTTCATGTCCAGAATAAAATACACTCGGCCTTTTTATTTATAACTAAAAGTTTATCGCAACCTTAAAAAGAGGTTTAACGGGGTTGAGTTTAGGAAATTTTAAGTTTAAATTGTTCCCTAAAGCTTAAATATGAAGCAGAGATTTTGTAAATTATTTTTGTGAAAGAAGCAATTTAACAACTAAAAAAAATATAAAGGTGTAAAAATTCAACCAATCAGCGTTAAGCTTTTGGATGCGGCTATAGCTGCATCCAAAATTTGTTACCAATTGTTCTAGTGACCCTCAAAAAGTATTTACTACATAGGTTTTCTATTTCAATAAGAGGAAAAATAAAAGAGGAAAAATTATGAGTTGGCATTGAGGAAAAAATTGATTGAAGAATGGAAAGATGATCACGGGCTGATTTTATCCTAAAGATCAAATCTCTACAAGTTGAGAGTACACTTGAGTCTGACGGGATAGAATTGTCTCCTGTCCATTTGTCTTAAGTGTCCAATTGTCCGCAGGCTTATTGTCCTAAATTCCAATTGTCGCATTTCTTTTGAAGTCGTGAGCACACTTGAGTCTGTCACTTAGTTGGTGTTGAATTGGCTTCTGTCCAATTGCTTTAGTTTCAATTGTCTTTGTGTCCAATTGTCCTCTTATTGTCTTACGTTCCAATTGTCGTTACGGATATCCGGGGATATCCGGACTTTTTTCGAACAACCCCAATTTAGTATTTCCCTAATTTTAATATGTTAATCTCGTTCGATGACTCCTCGCTTTTTGAATATTTTTTTAAAATAAATCCTATTTGCCTTCCCATAATGCAATTATTCTTCAAAAATACCCCCCCTCTCCCCCACCTTTTTACATTATTTATTTAGCTTATTTTCACCCCCCAAAATAACCACAATACTAAAAACATTATTTCCATCAAAACAAAAAGAGCAGCAGAATATCCTCTACCCATCAGTCATTCATCGATTATACTTCCCCTCCAATTTTGGTGAAGAGTTTGGGGGAGAGAATGTTTTTAGTAGTTAATTCATCTTCCTTCCTCTTTATTATTTTAACGGAGGGTTTGTTTATATTGAAAATGAATCATTCGAGAATTGAAAAATTTTTTTTAGTATTTTCTCTTCACGATTTTTAATTTTGTTTTAAAAAGTTGCGCATTCTTTTGATTATATCGAAAATCATTTCTCTTTTACCTTATAAATTTTCTAATTTTCCATACTCATTTTCAGTCCTCACAGACCAGTCCGACACGTTTTTCCTTGGATATTCCTATCAATCTTCCAAATACCCTTCTAATCACTAGATATCGGTATTTTTCGAAAATCCTGGATCTGGCTTCTGGAGGGTTTAGGTTAGTAATCTGGACAGGATCCTTGATCTGGATCCTGGAAAATCCATACTGGATCCAGATCCAAACTGATCTCTCCTAATCACTAATCCCTCTATATCCCTCCCTGAACCGAGGTTACACTAGAGGGAAGGAACTGCTCCGTAATTAGTTGGTACTCACTACACTCCGTTGACCCCAGCCGGTTTTAAAAAATTCGTTTAGGCACGGCATTTTTTTGTTTATTTAAATTTATTTTTTCAATTTTCAGTTAATTTTTTGTATAAAAATTTAAATGACTTCAACTTCTTCCTTTGCCGTTGATATTTGTAAATTACCGGAAGTGGTTAGAGAAAAATTGGCTCAACTTGATTTGGAATTAACTGAAGGTTTTTTTAATTTTTTAAAGAATATTTTTTTAATTTAATCAATTCTAGGCGATATAACAGAGAAGGGCTATGAAAAGAAGAGACAACAATTAATTGAACCTTTTTTAAAGAAGACGGTGAAAAAAGGTTTTTTAAGTTAAATTTGTTCAGAAATTATTAAAAATTATTTTAAGAATCTAATAAGAAAGACGATAAAGTTCAAAAGCAGAGACGCCGGACAACTCGAACAGAGACGCGTTACCATTCGGGTATTTTTTAGTTTTGATTAGGTTTTTGGTAAAATATTGAGGGGGAAAATACCGTAAAATGTTCCGGTACCTTTATATTTTCTTTGAACAAAATGTCTCAACAGAAAGTATGAAAAATCCCTTCAGTTTTTCGGAAAATGTCCACAAATGTTTTGACTAAATTGTCCCCAAAGCTTTTGGAAACTGCTTGGTCCGTTGTTGACTGGTTTGCTTTTCTGTGACTCGTCACTTCTAAACGAGCTGCATTTTTTGTTGAGACATTTTTGACAGAGGATCTACCAAAAATCGACATGATTTTCAAGAAGGACACAAGTTAATGAAAACCCTCTGGGCCAATTCCACCTTACCCAAAAAGTCTGTTTTTAAGTCAAAAAATAAAAGGTGACTATTTTTGTGAATTAGGGCACTAGACAAGTTTTTTTAAATCCCCCTTGGCCTGCAAGACAAGTTTTCCGTCTTAATCTTTAAATGACCCGTTACTCGAAAACTGAAACTTTCCTCACCTTGTTTTTTTTATTTTTGGGCATAAAAATTCAATGAAAATCCTCGGGGTTTTGTTCTTTTTATAAAATTAAAAAAAAATTTTTAGAAATCCGTCAAGAAGCAGTCCAACAAGCCTTATCTAATTTGGAAAATAAAAACAACAAAAAAGAGGAACAGCAACAAAACAACAACAAAAATAATTTTTTAATTTTGCCAACACAACAACAAAATTCCAAAACTGGCTCATTTATTTCATTTCGACAAAGAATTGGTTCTAGAAATTCAAGGAAAATGCAAGGAGCACAGACTAGTGGTTTGTTTATTTTTTTGACTTTAATTGTAAGGATTTTGGGGTGTGTAAATGGATGAGGTGTTTGTTTGTGGAATTTTCCTCCATTTCTTTTATTTCACGGCTATCATAGATTATCCGAAAAATTTTTCAACCCGATACCTGATTCTTTCCCGTCTTAATCCTTTAAGTGACTAGTTACTCGAGAACCGAAACTTTTTTTAACACGAAACCCTATCCGAAGAAAATTTTGAAAATCTCACTTGCTCGCATTTCTTACATAATCGTTACGTTCAACTAACCTCTAGTCAGTCTTAAAGAGTTGCAAGTGCCATTATCTTTATTTAACCCCTTCAAAAATTTTCTTTAGAATAAGTAAGAGATTTAGGGAAATAATAAAAGTTTAATTATACCATTTGTTTGTTTGCTTAAATATTTGCAAACATAAAAACATGTTGTTCATCTTCTCTCTTTTTTGTTTGTTATTAGTACTACTTATTTTTTACTACTCTCTAATATGTATTTATTGTTCTTGTTTTTCTTTTTTTTAACAATTATTTGTTTATATATTGGTCTTTAAATCTTTATAGGTAATTATTGTGAATAATTTTTTTCGGGTATTTTTTACTATATATCCGTGTATTTCTTCTAAAAAAATCTCCTGGTTTATGAGCAGGACTGGGTTAGGGTATCAGGGACTCCGGAAACTTGAACTTTTTTATGACCCAAAACCTGTGTCGAAGAAAATTTTGAAAAACCCGATCCAAAACCCAAGTCGGCTTTTTATTATAGTAACTCGGCCCATCCCTGGTTTGAGGCTTTTTTTAAACGGACGCGAATCCTTGTTAGAGGGCTAAAAAATTAATTTTGCTAATGCTTGGCAGAAGAGAAATATTTTTTTAATTTTCCTAGGAATTTTTTTCAAAATATTTTCATCCAAAAAAAGTTTTTGGCAACCTCAAAAAACTTGCGCACATCTTTTTCTAATACTTCACCACCATTTCTCCTCTCGATATTTTCTCAATATTTATTTTTGTTTGTTCGAGAACTTTTCCCTCTACTAATATTTTTTTATTTGTTCCTTCTTCTATTGTAAATATATTTATAATCAGCCTAGGACCTTCCAAACAAACACAACCCCTCCCTCCCAACCAACCAACCAACTCATTTTCTCTTTTTTTTATTGTCACAAAAATGAGCCCTATTTTTTTATTTTATTTTTTAATATTTATGCGCAAATTTTTTTTATATTTTTTATATTATTTCTCGCAACCGGTTTCTCTTTTTTCAAAAAAAAATTTTGTTTAAATTTTTAATTTTGTGTGTCAAGGTTATAATATTTTTTTAGGTTTTTTTAAATTTTTTTTTCTGAGGGTTTTTGATAAATAAACTAATTAAAATTAAATTTATTATGACACATTTTTGGGTTTAAATTCCAAATAACTGATCTAATGATTGCGCGCTCCCTATCAACGTTTGTTCTCTCTGAGAGTTTTTCCTGTCTTTCTAATAATCAAAAAAAAATTTTTTTTACACTATTATCAGAAATGCCGCAGGTTCGATTCCTACTCGGTGGCCACTCTTTAGCTAAAATTCTTACTCAAGTTCAATATTCCACTAAAAAGCAGCGATCCAGGGCCCTATTTTAATTTCCCACAGATTTTGCATTTTGTCATAGATTCCACAGAATCTGTGGTCAATTAGTAAAATTGACCACATTTTTCTGGTGGTGATATTGTGATACTAATCGCTTAAAATCCAATACTATTCTCGCTAATATTCTCAAATTCTTTTCAATCATACGTTGGCTCAATTCGGTCCCAAGGGTGATGAGCAGGATTTCATTAAAATAATTCTTTAATAGTTCAAGTCTAATTTATTTTTTAAATTTTATTTTTTACTATTTACGTGTACATAATCAGGGCAAATTTTCTAGAATATTTTTTTGATCACTTTTAATTTGCAAAAAATATTTTTTTGATTAACATCCTTTTATATGATTCACATATTTTTCTATTTATTTTTTTCATCAATTTTTTTCTTCTAATCACTTTTCTAACTTAATAAGTCCTAATTTCTTCTTTCTTCTAAATCTTCCATTTAAATCATTTATATATCCTTCTTTATCTTTTATATATTTTCTTTCCCCCAACACTCTGTCACCCACTCATTTTCTTCTACCAAATGTCGTATCCCCCCTACTACACCTTCTAAGTAAGCATTATTCTTTCTATTTTTTTACCGCACCCCTACAACAATTGAGCATCATCAGCAAGTATATATAGAGCATCTGGCTCTGACTAAGTGAGGTAGATATTGGGGGGGGGGGGGGGGGGGGGGGGGGGAAGGGGGGTGTGGTGCTGAGGAAATAAAAAGGGAAGGAATAAAGGGGGCGAGGGAATGAATGGACTCTCTGTTTTGGGCAATAAAAATTGAGACTTTTTTGTTGTCCATTTTTCTCCTTTTTGTGTGTGTGTGACGGCAACCGACACTCTACTACTGGACGTTATATAGTTATAGTGGCCACTCAACAGTTGACAATAAAGCAAAAAGAATTTTATATTTATATCCCCCCTATAAATATCTGTGTCTTTTTTTGTATTTTGTCCTTCAGTTACTCGATATATATTTATTTTTTTCTTCCCTTTTTTAGTTGAGGTGAGAGGGCTAGAGAGAGATGAATTAAGTGTGTTTAATTTTGACAACCCCAAGTTTTTAAGGAATTTAGAAAGTTTAATTAAAAAAATATTTTTCCCCTGCTCTTTTTCCTAGCTTATTTTTGTCCAAATAATTTATATCTTGGACATTTCCCCACAATTTATTTTTGCCCAAATATTTGGACAACATTTGCATCCGGATATATCCGTGTAACTTTTGAATATCCGTATCAGGACTGTCCTCAATTGAAAAAAAATTTCCGCAGCCGCATTTTTAATTTTAAAACCCGCACTCGATCAAGTCAAAAAAATCAAACCCAATTTTACGCATTCCGCAACACGACAACCCTGCAATTGTTGACAGTCCTGATTCGTATCCTTGTTTTCAAATATTTTTTTATTTGTTTTCTCTTTAGAAGTCTGAATTTTTTCTTGTAATTCTTTTAGAGAATTCGTTGTATTTTCTAAAATTATTTTTAAAATTTTTTTAAAAATATTTTTCTAAATTTATTTTTTAATTTATGCAAGTAAACTGACCCTAAGAATTTTTTTTCCTTTTATTGCCTCTATATTACTTTTATATATTGAGAGCTTGTTTTATTTTTATTGGTCATTTACTAAGTAAAAATTTCTAAATAAAATTGCCAATTGAATTTTTCTTTCCTTTCCAGCATGTAACGGGGATTTGCTTGAGACTAACATGTCTCTTTCTTAAGCTTAGAAAGTGTTGGATGGACAGGAAACCCCCTTCCTCCTTACAATTCTTTTACTTTTTTAGCAACATTTTTACACTGCGCGCTACTACCAATTTTCATTTCAAATTTTATATTTTTACTAATTTTCTTATTTTTGCATATTTACTATAAAATGTGCCTCCAAATTTTATTTTTCCATAAATTTCTACATAATTTTTCTTTAGGAAATTAGTTTTAAAAATATATTATATTTAATTTTAAAAATGCGTGAAAAATTGACGGTAGAAACGGATAGACACATTGCATATTTGACTATTTGTAAGAAAGCTCTAAAAAATATTTTTTTGGATTAATTATAATTATAGTATTTTAATTAGAGTTCAGAGAGAGTCGAAGAGATTTAAAAAAAAATTTTTTCTTGGTATTTTTCGAGATATCGAACTCAATTCATGTAGGTCACTGTCAATCCCCCGGTCTCTAAATTTAATTATCAACAGAGCTGTGTTGAAATTTCGATTTCCGATTTTTGAGGATTTTTTTGTTTTGAAACAGCTCTGATCATCCTCAATATCAAACTAAAAATTTTAATACATATTCCTTTTTAAGAATATTAAAAATAAAATTAAAAAAGCAAGATTTTTTTGAATAATTAAAATCACACCCTTAAAATAATTTTATATTTATAGACAGCAGTTCAAATGACGAAGACGATCAAATGGAAGAAGGAGGGAATTGCAGCACATTTGATAGTGGGACTGGTGACAGTGCTAAAAACAACAACAGCAAAAAAATTTGTCGCGACAAAAAATTAAAGGAAGAAAAAACAAAAATTGGCGATGATGGCGGGAAAGAAGGAGGAAGAAGAAGAAACGGAGAGGAAAAGGAAGAAAAAGATCAAATTGATGGCAAAATATTAACAAAAAATGTTTTATTAAATGGTAAGAAAAATTTTTTTTGAATTATTTTTACCACAAAATTATTTTCTTTTAAGAAGAATCGTCTACAACTCAACAAAAATATAATTTAATAGAAGAAACATCAGGATATATTTCTATGCTTCAAATACAAAATAATGTGAGTTTTGGAATTTTGAGGCTAAAAATTAAGGGTGTTGGCGCCCTTGTTAATCAAATGGAAGGTTTCTAAGGGCATTGACCCCGGAGCAGTTCAACTGAGTCCCGGCTCAATTGAGTCCAGGCCCTATAACTCAAGTACGGGTTGAAAATTTTTAATGTTTTTGGTACCAATAGATAGAGCATTAGATGGACTACAACATACCAAAAAATCAAAATTTTCGATTAATCGATAAAAAAGTTATGATCTCTTAACTAATTTTTTCAAAAAAATCCGATTTTTCGCCACTTTATCGATTATAACTTTTTTACCAGTCGGTCAGGAATTTTGATTTTTTGATATATTGTAGCCTATTTAATGCCCTATCCAATGGTACCACGATCATAAAAAAGTGACCATCCCTTCATAAGTTATAGGGTCCGGGACTCAATTGAGTCGGGACTCAATTGAGGTGTACCGCATTGACCCACCGCTTGTAAAGATTAACCTGCCACCAACTTAAAAATTCTATCTTATGAGGGTTATCTAATCTCTGTTGCTCCCACACGTCGCTGATTCAATCGAAAATTTTTTTAAAAACATCTCAAACTGAGGAGTGACTAATTTTTGGGGTGCTTTATAGTGAAATCTTAAGAATCATTTTTAATCGCCATATCAGAGCAAAAAAATTTTTTTTAATTTTATTGTGATTTATTTTTAAAATTTTTTAGAATTTTGAACCAAAACCTGGACCTAGTCAACAACAACAACAAATATTAAATGAACCAAAAAATCATTTATCTTCTCCAATTTCATCAAAAAATAAACAAAAATTGTCTAAAAAAGAAGAAAATGTTAATAATTTGTCATCAAAAAATTCCCCACTTCCTCCACTACCAAAAAATTTGACAGAATTTTCTGAAAAAATAGATAATCAGCATCATCATCATTTACCTTTCCTTAGAAGAAGAAATTTTAATAATGGAAGTAATGGAAGAGGGAAAGAAAATAATAATGTTAAATTACAACATAAACCTTCACAAATTGCTAATCGGACTTCTGTAAAATTTTTAATATTTAATTTACTAGTTTGGAGGTCTAGCCGTTAAGATTCCCAAAGATAGAAATTCCTTATATATTTTTTGGTCGGGAATTTCTAATTTTCTAAATTTATTTTTTATATCAGCTAAATAAATCCCTGATATACACAAAATGAAGGGCTTTAGCTTATTTAAATTATGTTTCATTTAATATATCACTTCTTAATAAGAGCTTATTTTGTAGTCCGCAAGTGCTTAAAACCAGGGAGAACATTCCGATATAAAAAATAAATTCCCGTTTTCTCCCAACTTTGAAAACGTGTGATTTTTGGGAATCGGGGAAACCAAAAGCATTTGTATTTAATTATTTAAATTTTCTTTTTTGAAAGGTTTTACTTTTGGAAGATCGCCCCTTGCCTCAATTACCACAACAACAATTTTCAACAAATTCAGACGATGATGAAATTGAAGATGAAAAACAAGAAGAATTAGAAGAAGATTTGGTAGGCGAACCAGAACCCCCAGTTTATGTAAATTCTACAAACGATTCTGGATTGGGAGGGTGTTCTTCAAATGCTCCAAAAGATTATGCAAATACTTCTAAAACTCGTAAATTTTTTTGAAAATATTTTTGGAAAAAATTTTGGAACCCAGGAATTAATTTCTTTGAAAAATCGCAAAACAACAAAAAAAAAGCGGACAAAAAAATTTGTCCGAAAAAATTTTGCTTATGAACTAGAGTTTTTACGACTGGTTACTTTTAGCCTGTGTTGCACTTTCGAACATTTTAACTGCTCCAGGCGAAGATTAGCCTTTTACCAACAACTCTACTAGAATAAGTTGTTGGCGACCCTTTAGCTTCTCAAAAAAAATTTTTTTTAATTAAAATACAAATCCTTTTAATATTTTTCTTTTAATTTTCAGCAGTAAAAACAACGAGAATATCGGAAAAAATCCAACAAGTTTTGCATTCTCTTCAGGTAGCTTTTTTTTAAATTTTTTAAAATTATTTAATTTTATTGGGTCAGCGACCAAGTATTTTTTCCCCCAAAAATTTTTTTTATTTTTGTAAAAAATTTTTTATGGAATTTTGCTAATTTTTTAAATTATACTTTTTAAATATTTTTAAAAAGTTCCCCGTCAATAAAAAAATTTTTTTATTTACCTGTTTAAAAAATAACAAACACACCAGTCAGGTGTTCATTAAATTTCGGGAGAAGGGCGCCCCCTCAGTTGATAATATTTTTACTTTTAAATTTGTGTACTATTTTTTAAAAAAACGTAGGTAATTGAAAAAAATATTTTTTTATTTTTTGAAAAGGAATTTTTTAAATTTTTTTATTTTTTAAAATTAATTTTTTTAAATTTCTTTTGTCTCTTTTATTTTTAAATTTTTTTTCAAAAATTTTTCCTTTCATCTTCACGCATTTTTTTTCTTTCTATTTTTGCATCACTATACTATACTACTCATTTCCTTTCTGATTTTTCTTTCTGATTTATTAAACACTTCTTTTGTTGTGGTTGTTGTAAACTCATAAATCTCCTCTCTTTTTTTTTTTAATTTTTATTTTTCAACCACACCACATTCCACGCTCTCTCTTTTCTAGGATTTGATAGGAGAAATTGCTGGCTTTCGAAAAAATTTTACAATTTATTTTTATTTCACAGCAAGATATAATATATTTATTTTTTTTTCAATTTTCTAGTAAGGAAAGCTGCTCATGCATAATTTATGGAAATTAAATAAAAGATTTTTTAATTATTTGTTTGCATTTTTGCTTATCTCGTTAATTATTCTGAAACATCACACTCAAAAACATTTTTAATATTTATTCTATGTTTTCAACATGTTTTTATTTGTTTCAAGCTTGTGTTTCTATTCTTGAACATTTTCTAAAACATTGTTTATCCTTTGTTTTTGGGCATTCTTGTTTTAGGCAGCTTCTATTCTGAACATGTTTTTCTTATTTGTTTTTGAATTCTTTTCAACCTGTTTTTGAATGTTTTTCCAACTTGTTTGAATGTTTTTCCAACTTGTTCTTGATTATTTTTCCAACTTGTTTTGAATATTTTTCCAATTTGTTTTTGAATATTCTTCAAACTTGTTTTTGAATGTTTTTCCCAACTTGTTTGTGAAGGTTTTTTCCAACTTGTTTTTGAATGTTTCTAGTATTCTAAACTTTGTTTTTATTGTTGCAAACATGTTTGGTTGCTTATTTTGATTTTATTTTAAGCATGTTTTGGTCTTTTTCTTGTTTTATCTCGTGTCAATCCCTTCTCTGTTGAATCTTCCTTCTAATTGTCATTTGAAAATTTAACTAAAAATTTATATATTTTGTGGTCACATTTCCTCTCCTCCTGACACTAACACAAAATTTATATTTTTGCACAGCTGTTGTGTTGTCTTCTTCTAATTTTTATGTAGATTTGCGCCATGTGCATATTTATATATCTTTCCTAAGAATTTTTTTTGTTTTTAAAGGCCAAAAGCAACAGCTTTGTCAACAACAAACATATAAATAAATCTAAATTTAAATATTTAAATTTGCATTTTTAACATTTTTTCAACTTAAATAAGGAAATTATTGTCTTGTTTGTTGTTGTTGTTACAAACGTGACCGGACAATCCGTCAGTGGACAATCCGGCAGTGGAAAATCCGTCAGTGGACAATCCGTCAGTGGTAGGACAATCCGTCAGTGGACAATCCGTCAGTGAACAAATCCGTAATTCTTACCTTTACCCGACCTATCGCGGCCAAAAATTTTTATTTTTTCGTGTGGAGATTATAAGAGATATCGAAAATTTGGAGATTAATTAGGAAATCGGCAAATTTGGCTGGATTAAAAGATTAGTGGATTTGGGAGATATCGGGGATTTCAAAGGATATCGTGGAACTATTGGAAATACAATAGATTTGAGTATCATGGTGGTTATCGAGGAATTTGGGGATTAAGGGGGATTTCGTGGATTAAGTGGGATAACAAGGGATATAGTCGGATTAAGAAGATTTGGAGGTTGTTCCATGATATCCATCAAAAAACAACCTCACGCTTCCCATAATTCCACGATATTCATCCAAATCCTATATAATCCTACACGTTAATTATGTAATCTAATCCATCCATATCCCCGAATCCTTCTAAATCCGTCAAAAAATCCAACGCGGTAGGTCAGGTAGAGGTAAGAATTACGAATTTGTTTGCTGCCGGATTGTCCACTGACGGATTGTCCGACCACTGACGGATTGTCCACTGACGGATTTTCCACTGCCGGATTGTCCACTGACGGATTGTCCGGGAGCCGTTACAAAAATAAGGAAATTTAATTTAAATTTTTTACAAAATTTTTTTTACAAATATTTTATTTTTCAAAAGAAATTTTTTTTTATTTTTCCATTAGGAAATTTTCTGAATTTTTTTATGTTAATATTTTTTTCTGACAATTTTTTATTTTAGTAGGTTATTTAATTTTATTTATCTTATTTTTTGGATGGTTTTTGGGAGTGTTCTTGGAAGGTTTTAGCTGTATATTAGGGACCCCATACTAGGAATCTCATACGAGAAATGTGCTTTTGTCACGGTCCAATCTCTCCTTGATATAAAATTAAAAAGAAATTTGACCTTTCAAAAAAATTTTTTTCTGGCCAGCTTATATATATTTATTTTTGGATTAAGAGAGTGGAGGTGTCTGTAAGGAGATTAATTTTTTATTTAAAAAATTTTTTTTTCACACTTCTCTACAATTTCTTTAAAGCTTAGGTATATTAATCTCTTTAATTTTCTTTTTATTTTTTTACTTATTAAGCGGCTGTTGCTGCATTTTTATAAGCTTCTCCTAAAGAGAGAGTTTTTTTTTGCTTAATATAAATTTTTTCTTGTTTTTCAAGATTTTTAAAAATATTTTTTAGATAAAAAATTTGAAATTTGATAATTTTTAAGGTTATCAAAGGAATTCTTATTTAAAATATTTTTTTCTAAATTTTAATTTTTGTGTTTTGAATGGCATTTTTTTATATCATTCACTAGCCTGTCTCAAATTTTTTTTTCAGAATTTTAAAAAATAATTTCAATTTTAAACTTTATTTTTGCTTTTTCTATCTTTAATTTTTTATTAATGATTTTTTTTATTTTAGACTTCTTTTTAATATTTTTTTAAATATTTTTTAAATAAACAAATCTTTTGTTTTAAAAGATTAATTTTAATTTTCAATTAAAATAGTAATTTCAAATTTTACCTATTTTTATTTCAAATCTACCTATTTTTTTTCAAATTTTACCAAATTTTACCTATACTACATTTTTGACCACTTCTTTATTATTTTATTATTATTACAGCATTTATAAATTATTAATATTTGATCATCTTTCTAACTCATCAAAGTAAATAATAATTATTTTAATCTTTATTCTCCTCTCTTTTAACTCATCAAAATGTATGTTTTAATGGAACATTCGGGTAGGCTTCATTCACCTCCACCCGATCGTCGTCATCATCATCATCCTAAAGCTGTTTTACGTGCTCGTGCACATAAACATCAATCGCCTCCACCTTTTGAAGGGCAACAACAACAGCAACAAAAGTCTCCTCTTAAAAATGTTAAATGCCAATCATTAGATAATGAAATATTAAAAGAAAGGGAGGAAGAAGAGGATATAAGCAAGTTTAAACAATTTGTTTCTAAAATAGCAGAAGAAAATAAAAAACAACAGCAACAACAAAAACATTTATTAAATGAAAGAAAATTGTCAACAACAAAACATCAACAACAAAACAATCCAACTTGTTTTGCAACAACATCAAAACATTTAAATAAACATGCTCAACCAAACAATTTTCCAACTTGTTTTGCTTCAAGTTTAAATAATGCTAATAACACCAATGATTATTCACAACTTCCTCCACCTATTAGATATCGCTTCCGCCCTCACCTTTTAGCAAAAGAAGAAAAACATCCTCCATATCAATGGAAAGAAAATAATTTTATTAATAATTTGAATAATCAAAATATGCTTTCAAACAATAATTCTCAACAATGCTTCATTCCTCGCTCAACACAATTAATAAATCGACAAGTTATGCTTCACGGCAACAATAAAGTTGGGCCAATTAATGAAGTTTATGAAGAAGTAAAACAATTAAAGAGTGATGGAAAGGTGGAGAATAAAGAGGAGAGGTTGAAGCAAAATAAAGAAGATTCGAAGATAGAAGCAAAGAAATTGAAGCAAGAAACAAAAATATTGAAGGAATTGAAATTGAAGCAAGAAAAGGATAAAAAGCAAGAGAAGAATTTGAAGCAACATGAGAAGATAGAAAAAGATGATAAATTAAATCTGAAGCAAAAGGATTTGAAACAAAAAACGAAGCAAGAGGAAGAATTAAGGCAAAATATGAAGAAGGATATAGAATTGAGTCAGAATAATGTAAAGAAAGGGGTTGAAACATTGGAAGATTTGAAGAAAGAGAAGCAGAAGCTTGATGAGGGGAAATTGAAGCAGCAGCACATGAAGCAAGAAATCAAGCAGGAAATGAAGCAAAATTTTAAGCAAGAAACGAAGAAAGAAGTAAAGCAAAGCTTGAAGCAAGAAATGGATCAAGATAAAGATAGCAGCAATTTTAGCAGCAACATGAAGCAACAAAAGAAGCGCCTTTCTATCCAAACAAATTATCAAAATTCTTTACGTAGAAGTTTATCACAGTCCCGATGCTGTTCATCTTCAATAACTTCAAATAATCAACAACAACAAAAAGCTGATAATTTTTTAAAATTTATGAGTAGATCGAAAACATCAACGAATTTAGCTACAAATTTGGCATCAAATCGAAGCAGAGAATCAAGTATATCTTCACTTTCTTGGCATCGTTTAATTCGTGGAAAATCACCAAAAAGCAGCAATAACAACAACCATTCTTCATCATATTATTCACCAAAAATTTTAAATAAAACTAAAAATAAAAATAATAATTTTGATGCTTTTTTAAATATTTTTAATGCTACAGAAAATTTAAAATTTGTCGAAAAATGTTGGGAAAGAAAAAATAATAATTTTTCTTCAAATCAAAAATTAGAAGAAAATTCATTTTTACGAGTTCAACGTGAATTAAAATGTATTGAAGAACGGAGAGCTTTAACTTTGGGAAGACGAAAAGGTTACCGAAAAAATATTTGTGTCGCTGACCTAATTGGTGTTGAAAATTTGTTGTTAAATAAAAAATTGTTGAAAGAACAAGAACAAAATAATAATGAAAATGTTGATTATTTAATATTACAGAAACCAAAACAAAGGGAATTGGAGGAATATTATAATGATGATGATGCTGAATTGGAAGGTTTGTAAGAAGAGAAAATTTTTTCTTGAATTAATTTTAAGTATACAAGTAAGATTGGAAGTTTCTGGGAATTCATTGGATACTTGGACCGATAATTTAATCGAAAATTTCCTGATACCCGAACTTTTTATTCCGATATCCGTAACCGCCTACCTACAGGTTCCTTTTGATTATCCACTAAATATTGCCAGTAGAATTAATTTTTTATCTTTACCTTATTTTTTAGTTATGGCAAACATTGTAGACGCAAATGCCCCTCGCCCTTCAGGCCAATTAATTACACCTTGTAGAGCTGACTTTCCTGGCTGTGCAACACCCCCTCCGTTACCTCGTTCAATTGAAACTGCACCTCATAAATGGGCAAATACACAACCTAAAGCAATAGCTGCTGTACAATTAGATGCAAATAATAATTCTTCAAAACCTTCAAACAATTTAACTTATGGTAAATAAATAAATATTACTTCGAATAGGGTTAGTGGATCCGATATCTAAATTCAATAAAATACCGAATATCTAGAAATTTCCGGACGGGATATCTGGATCGTGATTTTCGGAGATTTTCGATGATTCGCTAGCCCTAATTATGAGAGACTTAGGAACTTGGGATAGGATCTACATATTCTGCTTCCGTCTTTCACCGAATTCGGTCTTTTTTGGCTCTTCCGTTTTTTTTCTTCCAACTACTTTCATTTTTTTTATTTTTTCTCGATTTTTAACAGACGGCAGAACCTCCATCCCTCTTAAGAACCAACCTAGAGAAGATGAACAACCTTAAAGATCAAAGCCTAGTATTTTTTGTTGACCTCTAGAAAAGTTTATCTCTAGAATGGGGAGACTCATATTCTAAAAAATTAATTACTAAAAAATTTTTTTCCTTTAGCTAAACTTCTTAGCCGTGCCGTTAAAATAGCTTATACTTTACTAAATAAAACTGTTGTTATTCCTTCGACTTCTGGTAGTGGTGGAAAAGAACGTGTTCATTTATGCTTACCTGGAGATCGTGTGGCCTTGGTTTATCCAAATAATGAAGCTCCAGCATTTCTTTGTGCCTTTTATGGTTGCCTGTTGGCAGGTGTTGTTCCTGTACCTATTGAAGTGCCTACAGCTAAACGGAGCGATACTGCCGGGATTCAACAATTTGGATTTTTGCTGGGAAGTTGTGGTTTGTGAAAAAATTTATTTTTTTTAAATATTATTTTAAGAATATCCAGACAAAAAAATATTTTTTGTCTGGATAAAAGCTTACGTTTAATAAGTTTTCTGGTCTGGAACATCAAAGGATAACCTATTTCCTCTAATACAGAGAATGCCCGGGCTTTCTATCTTTAGTGGCCCTTCTATTGAAGAGGTGCACTTTATTAACCGAAGTTACATTATACATATTGTTAGACCGTGGTACAGCACGGTACAAGGGGCATGGCTTTGTTGTTGCCGTCTTGTTCCCAGTTGAACAGTCTAAAAATAAGATTAATCCACAAATTTTGATTTTTCTTACCCTCATTATATAGGTGTTTAAATTTTAACTTTTCTTCTATCCTCTAGGTGTTCGTGTAGCTTTAACAACAGAACGTTGTTTAAAAGGATTGCCTCGATCATCAAATCAACAAAATAACAACAATACCTCTCAAAACTTTTTGCCTTCTTCACCTTCTAGTAGTGCAAATTCTACACTCTCCCCAACAACTACCCAACGCGATCCTAGTCAATCACCAGCACCAAATCGACAACAACAAAATTTGGGGGATTTGGCTGATTTTAAGGTTTTTTTTTAAATATTTTTGGAATTTTTTTTTCTATTTTTAGTGCTGGCCAAGACTTCATTGGGTAGTTACTGAACATTTACCTAAACCAGCAAGGGAATGGACGTTGCCTTCTTTAATGTTTGTTTAAATTATTTTTCTTTTTGGGAGGTTTTTCCTAGTATTTTTCCATATCCCCTCCTTTTCTTAAAGTAGGGTTCAACCCCCGTCCCGGAGAAGGGAATTCCCCGGGGGAGGCCATGGGGGACCCTCCGTTCCCCGAACCTGAATTCCCCGCAACCCCCGTTCTACGTACGATCAACCCCCATCCCGAACGGTCGCACCCTACCTTAAAGTACTTACTCATTTTTTCTATAGAGCAGATGAATCTATTGCTTATATAGAATATAGTACAGACCGGGAAGGTTCTGTTCGAGGTGTTCAAGTTTCTCGTCAATCAATGTTAGCACATGCAAGATCCCTTTGTTTAGCTTTAAATTACAAAGAAGGCCAAACATTAATTTGTGTGTTGGATTTTAAAAGAGAAGCTGGACTTTGGCATTCTTGTATAGCTGCAATATATGCTGGAATGCGTGTTATATTTGTTCCATATTCTTTGTTGAAAATTAATCCTACATGTTGGCTTTTACAAGCGACTCAACAAGTTTGTTTGTTTTTAAGAAAAGTTTTTTGGAGCGCGCCATAATACCAAAACGCCGAAATACCAAACTCCTAAAAACGGCCAAAATTTCGAAAAATAAAAAGCACAATTGCGGTTAGGGAATATTATTTTGGCATTTTGACATGTTTTTTTTTGGGGGGGGGGGGGGGGGGTTGGTATTTCGGCGTTTGGTCTTTAAATTTAATTGAATTTTTTTATTAGTCTGCTCAATTTGCTTTAGTCAAATCTCGTGATTTACATTGGTCTTTACTAGCTGTTCGTGATCATTCTCAATTACAACTTGTCTCTCTTGAACGGATTTTGGTTTATTTTTCATATTTTTCTTAAATTAAATTCTGAGACCCTTTAAAAAATTTATACAAAATCCGATGAAAAATGTCCGAAAAAATCTTCCGCATTTTTTCTTGTTCTTAAAAAAATTCTTTTAGGTCAGTGATAGCGCCAACCCTTGGGCTCTTTCCTCTTGTGATCAATTTTGTGCCGTTTTCTCAAAGCGCGGTTTATCCCCAACAGCAATATGTCCATGTGCAGGTTCCTCTGAAGCTGGTACTGTTGCCTTAAGACAACCATTTAGACAACAAGAAAATGAACAACAAAATAACGAAAATGTTGTTAATAATGAGCAACAACCAAAATGGGGAAGTGGTAGAGGAACTCTTTCAATGTTGGCACTTAGCCATTGTGTTGTTCGTCTAGAGCCAGAAAATTCTATTAATTCTTTGGCAATACAGGTAAAGATTTATTTCTTTAAATTTAATAATAAGGTGAAACAAGGGCATAGTCAGGGGGCTTCTGGGACTAAAGCCCCCCTCCCCCCCCCCCCCCCCCCCCCGAAATGGGGAAAAGGGAAAAATGTGAAAATTTTTTTGCGGACAAGTCTGTTCTGTCCGCAACCTTTGTCCGCAACTTTTTTATAAATTAAAATAAAATAAAAATATATTTTCTTTTAAAAGGATACAGGTCAAGTAATTCCTGGAGGTATGGCTGTTGTTGTAAAATTAAACGGCCCTCCAAGCTTATGCCGTTCTGATGAAATTGGAGAAATTTGTTTACATTCAACATCAACTTCAAATGGTTTTTACGGCCTAAAAGGACTTTCTTCAAAAATATTTGATGTTTTACCTTTGGGAATAGACGATAAACCTATTGGACCTTTACGTTATGTCCGTTCTGGATTAATTGGTTTTTTGGGTCCAAATGGAATGATTTTTGCTGTTGGTGCTAAACAATCATTGTTATATGTTTCTGGAAGAATACACAATTCTGATGATGTAAGAAAATATTTTTTGAATTTTTTAAAAGGTTTTTTATAGATAATAGCAACTGTACTTGCTGTTGAACCACAAAAATTTATTTATAGAGGTTTTTTAATTAAAAAAAATTTTTTTAATTAATCCATTTAAAGGTAGAATTGCTGTGTTCAATATTCGAGTACTTCGAGATGAACGTATTTGTATTGTAGCTGAACAAAGACCTGAAGTAAATGAAGAAGATGCTTTTCCGTGGATGGTATAAAAATTAAATTAAAATTTTTTTATAAAAAAGGTTATTTTCCTCTCTTAATTCCAAAAATTTCATTTTTGTCATCAAGTCTTATACTATTTATCAGGGTTATGTCGGTTCACCTTTCGTCTTACACTTTTTAAAATCAGTTTTGGCACACTCTCTTGCTATTTGTTCTATCCAAAAAGGGTTATTTATGGGGAAAAATAAGAGAATAAATAAAAATATATGCTTGGTGGAGGGCCTAAAATTCCCTAAGAACTCACACCGGGATCCGGATCCGATATCTGAACCGAAATTTTCGGATATCCGGCCTTTTTCGGATCCGGATCCGCCGACCTTATCGGGGAGAACAATTTATAAAAATTAACAAAAAATTTTGTTTTCAAAGGTTCGTGTTCTTCAAGCAATTGATTCTGTACATAACCAGCTTGGCATTTATTGTATTTGCTTAGTTCTTCCAAATCAATTACCAAAGGTTTTTTTTAATTTAAAAATAAATAAAAAAATTTTCTTAAAAATTTTAAAGACTCCTCTCGGTGGTATTCATGTTACTGAAACTAGACAACGATTTATTGATGCTTGTTTACATCCTACAACTTTATTAATGTGTCCTCAACATTGTGTATTAAATCTTCCAAGGCCTAGGTAAAAAATGGGATTTTTCTTGTCGAGGGCGTAGCCAGGGTGCTGAAGCTCCCCTCCCCCCCCCCCCCGAAATGAGGGAAAGGGGGACTTCTGGAAACATAAAAATAACTTAATTTTTCCGTGAATGATTAACTTTCCAACAATCAAATTAAAAATACTATTCTAATTTTATATAATATTAGAGAACCGCCTGCTGATGTTGGTCCTGCCGCTATGTTTGTAGGAAATATTGTACAGGTTTTTTTTTGTTTTAATTTCTAAAAACTTTTTTTTCTAGGGTGTAAGAATAGCTGGAGCACAAGGAATGGAATTGCCATCACCTATAACTGAAGAGGAACAATGTTGCCATCTTATTGATATTTTAAAACAACGAGCAAAGAATACTCCTGATCATGTGCTATATTCTCTTTTGAATTCACGTGGAATTGAAGTTTGGATTTTTTAAAACTTTTATCCTATTTTTTTGGGCATAAACGATCGATCGGATCAGACTATACCCTCGGAATTAGATTAATTTTTTAACTGTTGCCATTTCGATGGCTTTTTTAGTTAGGAGGTTTTCAATGTCATTTCCTTTCATCCGATTTGGAATTTCGACAGCTTTTTGGAGGTTTGGTTTTTAGTTGAAGGTTTGGCATACCACGGATTTGAGAAACTACCTACGAGATTTTGCTATTTAAGTACCCCCTTCAATTTACTATATGATTTTTCACCTCTAAAGAGTGTTTTTTGTAGTCAGATCCTTTTGTATTTATAAATGTACTCTTCTAAAAAATATTTTTTTATAGACAGAATCTCTAACTTGTGCTCAACTTTTAAAAAAAGCAGAACGTGTTGGTGCTTTATTACTTGAGAAAGGAAGTTTGGCAAGTGGTGATCATGTTGCTATTATTTTCCCTCCAGGAATTGATTTAATTGCGGTTTAATTTTTTAAAATAATTTCTAATATTTTAATTTATTTTAGGCAGTTTTTGGTTGTTTTTGTGCTTCACTTGTGCCTGTATGTATTAGACCACCTTCTGCTCAAAATTTACAAACTTCTATGCTTACTATAAGGTTTTGATTTTTTTTAGAAAATATGTAGGAAATGTAATTAAGCAAAAAGGGGGTTACTTTTACCTACCAGACAGGAATCGAACCTGCAATCTTCTGGTGGTTACTTTCACATTCAGTTGTTCAACTTAAGAAACTGTCTAAAAAATTTTGCTATTTAAAAAGGGGACCACCTTTTTTCCTTAAAAACTATTTTTTGATCAATAAATTTGTTTTCTCTTATATGAATCCCTAAGCCCTTACTTAAGCGTTTTAACTCCTACCCAACTCCTTGGCAAGACATTTAAAGACTGACTTGTTGAAATAGTTTTTTGACTGGGTCTTTGTTTAGTATCACGTGGTTTTTGATTAGTACCTTGTTCCGTTATGTCGGTCTAATTATGCCTCACCCACCACCTTTCTCCTTGAAAACTAATTTTTTCCATAAAAAAAATTTTTTTAATTTTTTTTAGAATGATTGTACAAGTTAGTAAAGCTGTTGCAATTCTTTCTAATGGATTAATAATTAAATTATTAAAAAGTAGAGAATGCCCTCCACCTCCAAATAATCATCAAAGAAGACGACAATCACAACAACCATCAACACAATTCCAAGCTTCTTCGTCTTCTTCTTGGCCAATAATTTTTGATATTGATGATGCTCCTTCTTTATCTTTTGCTAGAAATAAATTATTAAATAAAAGAAAATTGTCTGCAGAAAGAATTGAAGAGGAAAGATCATCGACAGCAGCAACATCTACATGTTATTTGGTATTTGTTTTTTTTATCTTAAAAAATTTTCGGGGAGGTTTTCTGGCAAAATTTCTGAATTTCTCTAGTTTTGTGACTGACCCAACTCAAAACCAGTGACCCGACCCCAGTAAATAATAAACCAGAGATGTCACGAGGGTTACCTAATATACCCGGACTTTTTGACCAGAAACATTATCGATAAAATTTCTTGAACCCTCGCTGACTTTTTCCCTCTTATAATCCCTTTAACTGACCCAACTCAAAACCAGGAACCCGACTTTTTCTCTCAGTCCGTGTCATTCCTGTGCCAATTGTCGAAATACCAAAAATGTGGAAAAGCCGCAGAAGTATAAATTGTTGAAAATTTTTTTTTCCAATCTAAAAGGACATCCCTTTGCTTCTTTTTTTTTGATTTTATTTTTTTATTTTTAAAAAAAGGATTTTGTTGTATCTACAACAGGACAACTTTCTGGTGTACAAATGACTGTTTTAGCAGTAGCAAATCAATGTAGAAGTCTTAAATTGGCATGTGAACTTTACCCATCAAGAAATGTTACATTGTGTCTTGATCCTTGTTCAGGCGGTCTTTCATTTACTCTTTGGTGTCTTTCAAGGTTTTCTTTTATTTTTTTTATTTTTAGAAATTTATTTGCGATATGATCCACAAAAATTTTTAATTAAGTTTATTCCTTCAATTGTATAAGCATAAATAAGTTTTATTTTTTAAGTAACTGTGGTGTAGTGGTATAGTTCTTGACTTGCCCCTTTTTTCTGCTGGGTTCTATTCCCTTGATAGAACTTTTTCTTCTTCTACCTTATTCCTTTTAATTTTTCACTCAAAAAATTTTTTTATTTTTTAAATTGGCTTAAAAAATTTTTTTCTTTTATTATTTTTAGTGTTTATTCCGGTCACCAATCAACACTTATTCCACCACAAGAAATGGAACAAAATCCTTTTTGTTGGTTACAAGCTTTAACACAAAGGAGGACACGTGATACATTTTGCTCACCAAATGTTTGTTTGATTTTCTATTTAAAAATTTCTAAAAAAATTTTTTAGATGGTAGAATTATGTTGCTCAGAACTTGCACCACAACTTTGTCAACTTATGGAGAAAGGAATTAATTTATCCAGGTTTATATTTTATTTAAATTTCTATTTTTGATTAAATAGCGCTGGTTTTGATTAACTAGTGCCGACTACTCCCCTAAATTCCCATGGGTTCGATTCCCACAAGGAAAATTTTTCTTTATTCATAATTTGAGTTAATTAATTTTTGCCTCATTTCTTCCTTTAATTGTACAGGGTGCGCCAAAAGTAATTGGACACTTTTAAATTCATTATAACTTTTTTTATTGTAAATATTTTTTTTCGGTTTTATGCTTATTTTTTAGCTCATTCAATTCTCTATTATGGCTAGTCAACGTGATTCTAATAGTTTCACTTTTTTGGCAAAAAAAATCTATCCGCAAAATTTCATCTCCTCCTCCAGTAGCACGCATGTCCGGACATTCTCTTCACAGACGAAAAAATTTTTACAATAGATGCCGTTCACAACCATCAAAATGATAGAATCTGGACATCAGAATCTCCTCTTTCCGATAAGTTTATCACCCATTCCCAACATCCCCAATCTGTCATGGTTTGGGCCGGTATTTGCGCGTCAGTCAAAAAACCCCTTATTTTCGTGGATCCTGTGGTAAAAGTCAACAAAGACTATTACTTGCGAGAATTTTTTTAGCGTGTTCTGAAGCCTCGGTTCAAGAGCCATTTCGGTCGCATAGTCTGGATTTTCCAACAGGACTCTGCTCCGGCACACAAGGCGAAAGAAGTTCAGGACTGGTGCAAGGCCAATTTTCCTGGGTTCATTAGCGCTCAGGAATGGCCGTCCTACTCCCCGAATCTAAACCAGATGGATAATTCTTTTTGGTCTATTTTGGAGTCCAGGGTCTGTGCTAAGCCTCATAAAAGTTTGGAGTCTCTGCGCCACTCTCTCACCCGAGAGTGGGACTTAATTACACTCAAAGAGGTGCGTGCTATTTGCGAAAATTTTTTTTCACGCCGTCGCCCCTGTACCAAAGCCAAGGGTGGGCATTTCGAATCTTCTTGATTATTATTGTTCCTTATTTAATTCTCTATCATCCGATTGTATTTTGATTTTATTTGATTGTGTTTTAATAAAGTTATGAGAGAAAACAAGTGTCCAATTACTTATGGCGCACCCTGTATATGTATAAATTTTCTTTGCACCAAAAGCAGTTGTTGTGTAGTGGTTAGTGTTCTCAACTAACCGTTTTTTGTTAGTGGGTTCGACTCCATCTTCTGGAAAATGTTTTCTTTTTCATTTAAAAACCTCCCTTTCTCATTTAAAAAATTATTTTTTGAAAATTTGGCTTTAAATTTTTTTTTCTAATATTATTTTTTTCAGTCTTCGTAATTGTATAATTATTGCTGAAGAACGCCCACGTGTTTCTTTGTGTACTGCATTTGTTAAATTATTTGCACCATTGGGTTTATCATCTAGATCAGTTAGTACAGCTTTTGGTTGTCGTGTAAATCCAGCAATTTGTATGCAAAGTGCTTCTTGTCCTGATCCAACAACAGTTTATGTTGATGCTAGAGCTTTAAGAAATGATCGTGTAACTTTGGTTGAAAAAGGTGCTCCACACAGTATTTGTTTAATGGAAAGTGGAAAGGTTTTTTCTTAATTTTTTGTTAAGTATGGGATCCTAGGCTTTTAATTAAAAAATGGGAATAAATTTTTATATTTTTGAGACATTTCCCAAATTGAAACTAACGAGATCTTTAATTGACATAGACGGCTTAAGAACTAATTTCTTCATCTACTGATTTCGAGTTATTTTATATAACTCACCCCTCTATGGGTTCAGGGGTTCACCACCCTTCAAAGGTTCCTCCTCTTGGTTTCCCACATGGAAAAAATTTTGAAAAAAATTCTCTTATGTGTCCTCCATTTACTTTTAGGTTCTACCTTGTTTTCTTTCATTTTTAAATTAAATTAATTTCTTTTTTTTTCAGCTTCTACCTGGAGTTAAAGTTGCTATTGCCAATCCAAAAACACGTGGACAATGTGCAGATACACATTTGGGCGAGGTTGTTTTATTTTTAAAATTCCCCAAAAAATTTTTCTTTTACTAGATTTGGGTATCTAGTGGACACAATGCAAATGGATTTACTTGTCTTTCTGGCGAATTGCAACAAACTGACCATTTCAATGCTCGTTTAACTACCGGTGATACAAAAACTTTATGGGCACGAACTGGTTATTTGGGATTTTTGAGACAAACAAAAGCAATTACTGCACATGGAGGTTTTTCTTAAATTTTTATAGGGGATACAGGGATGGGCAGGGCTACTCGAAACAGCTGGACCTTTTTTGAAACCTTGGAATCAGAACCCCGATCCGAGGAATTTTCCAACCGCGACCCGTCTTTTTCCCTCTTAATTCCTCCAAACTCTGACACGACCCGAAATCCGGTTCTTTTTTCAACCCGGAATCAGCAAACACGAACCCGACCAGATTTTTTTTCTCTCATCCCAACCTATCCTTGATAAGAAATTTCTATAAAATAATTTTTTATTTTTTTAAAGAATTACACGATGCATTATTTGTTGTTGGCGCTTTAGATGAAACAATATTATTGCGTGGAATGAGATATCATCCTGTTGATATTGAATTGTGTGTATGTAAAGCTAATCGTCAAATATGTGAAAGGTTTTTTAATTTAAAAATTTTTTAATTAGACTTTAGCTTATTTAAAACAATCCTCACTCTGTAGGAATCCTCTAGCATTGTTTTTAAGTTTTTGGAATCTCTCGGATGGCTTAAAATATATTTCAATTCAGCTGACTTGTACCATATTATATAGAATCGTCCTGGATCCCATAATTATAGACAAAATTATAGTAAAATCGTGTAACGGACCGGAGGTTCCCATGCATGGGCATTCTTCTATTACCTTCCAAGGGGCTTCCAAAAATTAGGGAAAATATATTTTCCCTAACATTTTATAATTTCCAACAACATCACCAGACTTTAAAAATTAATTTTCCTAACAGTGCCTCCTTCCTTTGGACAAATTTACTCGTTATTGCTGCAGAAACAACATCGCCAGAATCAGATGCTTTAGATTTAATTCCATCAATAACTTCAGCATTGTTGGAAGAACAACATTTAATTGCTGGAATTGTTGTATTATTAGACCCTGGAACTATTCCAATTAACAGTAGAGGAGAAAAACAAAGAGCACATTTGAGGGAATTATTTATGCGTGATCAATTAGATCCTATTTATGTGGCTTATAACCTTTGAATATTTTTTTTTATTAATAATTTTATAATTTAATTTAAGAAAATAAAAAGTGTAAATTTAAATTGTTTCGGTTCCTGTATATTGTATTGCGAATGTTGCCCCCAGGGCCCGTAGAATAAATTCGGGGTTGGATAACCCGGTTAAATAACCCGGTTAAACAACCCAGGGGCAAATAACCCTTAGCTACGGGTTAAAATCGGTAGAATAAATTCAACCCCGAGTTAAGGGTTATTTAACACCGAGCTAGAGGTTATTTAACTAGTTGAGTTACTGGGTTATTTGACCCTTTATATTTTATTGCCAAATCCATTTCGCAATAATTGTTTACGCAATAATTGTTATTATTAAAAAGAGATATAGTCAAATGAAAAAGCTTAAAAAACTTATAAAATTTTTAATTGTTGAATAAATTTTGCTTCAAAAATTTTTGTAAAAGTTTTTGTTTTAAAAAAATTTTTGTTAAAAATTTTTTTATGCGTTTTGAATAGAAATTAAAATTTTTAAAAATTTTGCAATTTAGTAAATGTTTTAATTTTTTGGAAATTATGCATAATTCGCATGTTACCCTGCCCCCTAGTAGGGTTGCAATTTGCCCCTTACCTGCGGGTTATTTAACCCGGGTAATTAATTTATTCTACCGGTAATGTTACGCGGGTAAGATAACCGGGTTATCTGACCCGGTCATTTAACCCGAAGCTAGGGGTTTGAATTTATTCTACGGGTTACGGGTTATTTAACCCCAAGGTAGGGGTTGAATAACCCTTACCCCGAATTTATTCTACGGGCCCAGACTTGGTGACGTTCACGAGAGCTTTCGAAAAATACATAAATTTTTTTGTAACATTAATATCAGAAAATGTTATGCCAAAAATCCCCATTTTGTTGGCGAGACTCAAACGTCCCCTTAACTTTTGAAGTAAAAACCGGGCTCCTATACAACTCATCGAATCCTTAACTCATCGAATCCTTAACTCATCGAATCGGCCAAAAACACTCAACTCATCGAATCCTTAACTCATCGAATCCTTAACTCATCGACTAGGCCAAAAATGCTCAACTCATCGAATCCTCCCAAAAATGGACGTTTGAGTCCCAGTGTTTATTTTTTTAGATTTTTTATTGTTTTGTTTATTTTTTTGTTTTTCATCTGGGGTTTCAACTAATTTTGTTAATTAGTTGATCGGTCACTCATCGAAGTCTATCTGGTCAGTGAAAACATTCTCAGATCCTGGTAAATTATGCTGGAGATCCTGGTAAATTATGATCTCATTCCTGGTAAATTATGCGGAGATTCTACCGGGTAAAACCGGACCAGATTAATCCAGTAGGCCCCGATTGTGCCCAAAAGGACTTTTTCCTAGCCTCCAAAGCAGCTCAAAAATTTTTTCAACGAAGATTCAGCTAGCCCTTTTGGGAGAAAAATTAACACGGGGACTCAAACGTCCCTTTTTGGGAGGATTCGATGAGTTGAGCATTTTTGGCCTAGTCGATGAGTTAAGGATTCGGTGAGTTAAGGATTCGATGAGTTAATAGTTTTTGGGCGATTCGATGAGTTAAGGAATTTTAGCCGTTTCGATGAGTTGAGTGTTTTTGGCCGATTCGATGAGTTAAGGATTCGATGAGTTGAGGGGACACGAAAAACCGTCACAAAATTAGAGAAAAATTAAACGAAAAATAGTGTAGTTATAGAACAAAATAAATACGTGTGTTTGCGGTCAGTTTAGTGCCGAATGTTGAGAGCGTGCTGGTTACTGTATTGAATTGAAAACAATTAGAATAAACTTTAAAATCAAAAATTTTTAGTTTATAATATTTTATATTTATAAACTCTTCAAAGTCATGATAAACATTAAAAAATTATTTTGTTTAATCACAAAAGATTTCACAAAAAGAAAGTTTTTCTTTTGCGGGAAATTTGAAATTTCATTTAATTTAAAAAGTTGCCAAAATTTGGCGTAATGTCTACTGCGCCAAATAAATGACAGTTTATCCCAAAAATTAATTCTGTTGAGTCTAGGACAGTTGAGTCTGGCGGTTGTAATTGAAGAGATTAATAGGTCGGTTGGGTGCGGTAGTTGAGTGCGATGAAGGAAATTCTAAAAAATTTATATTTCCAAAAAATCGATACTAATCGATAAAATCGATATCAATCAATAAAATCAATACCAATCCATAATTTTCTTTTAAAAGGAAATTTTCAAAAAATCGATAATAATCGATAAAATCAATATCAGTCGATAATTGTTTTTTAAACGACTTATATTTTCCAAAAAGATCGATAAAATCAATACTAATCGATAATTTATTTAAAAGAATTCTTAATTTTCAGAAAAATCGGTTTTTCACTTTTGCCACTTCGCTCTCAAAATAAGCCCCGAACTGGCCACAAATACTTATATTTTTTTCTCTAACTACACTATTTCTCTTTTATAATTTCTCTAAACAACAGGAAATCATTAACTCAAGATTGTTTATTAAGGAACGCCTCAGTTAAGTCAGGACGGTTTTGTCGTGCCTAAGTTTCTACAAAACAATAAAAACAAAGTCAAAACATTTTATACGACAAAAATAAAACCCAAAAAACAAAAAAAACTTTAAAAAAAATTAAAAATGATTAACACCTAAAAATTCAAAAAAGATTGTTGTAGAAGCACAACATCGCTTGTAATCTATTAGATGTCCATCTTGTCGTTGCTTTTCTGTTGATGTTGTTGCTGGGAAATGTTCAAATCTGAAAGAAAAAAAGGATTTTGCGATATTTTGAAACTTATTTCAAGCTCAGAATCTCCGTAAATTTTTGATGCAATGGGTAGCTTAGGGGGGATTACACAATGTATTCTCCCTACTTTTACCTAAAGTATAAAGAGGTGCCCTATTATAAATAGAACAAGGTTTCAAATGTCTTTGGGGAATACGAGTATGTCACTGTGAGTTTAAACTACGTTGGGACAACGAAAAAACAGATACATTCGATTGTATCGGAAATTGAAACTCCCATAATTATTCAGAAATCCACCCAAAAACCCCTCAACTAAAAAATAAATAAACTACCATTATCTCAATCACGACTTCCTTCCTTCCAAACATTCACAACCAAAAGAAGCCCAATGCTTGGCTGTCTCCGCCAGGAACGCCCAACCAAGGAGTGTGTTCATCCGAGTTGGACATGTTAAAAAAATTTTTTTGAAAAAATTCTTAAACTTATTAAATAACCTTTCAAGCCGGGTTTTCATGAGCATTTGTAGGCCATAGCAACAGCAATTGGGCTCAAATCTAAAAGAAAATAATTATTTGGTGAAAAATAAAAAAGAAAACAATCAGAGAGTATAGAACCCGTGCCCTATTCTCGTATAATCGGCAGCGCTACCAACTTAACCAAATGTCAATCAGAAAGACTTTCACATTTTTTTCTCTATATACAAATGTGAACTTTGAATTTGGGGATCTAATTTTAGTTAATGAACTCAAAAGCCCCGAAAAAGAATTAATAACCTTTCACACTTCATAAACTGCACATGTACAAGCCAAATAAATGCAACCAAGCAATTGTCTTCTTGTTGAAGCGATGCACTTTGCCAGTTGTCCTCTATGTTGTGGTTCAACCGTTCAGCCATTTCCTAAAAAATGGAATTTTAGTTCATCCAAAAAAAAACAAATAAAGAACCTGAATGAACTCTGCAGCTTCTCTTCTATATTTGAGTTCGAATCCATAGACCTTCAAGTTGGAAGCCGAGCAAGTTCATGTTTAAAAACCATCCGTCTGCAGCAGTGTCTTCCAGTTACTCCCTACCCATGAAGGTTAGTGATTGATGGGTGAAAAACGCTAAGGATTATGAAACGGATATACCAAGGAACCCCTAATAATGGAAAACGTATCTGCGGACAAAACTCGAGGGTGTTTAAAAAATTAAAAAAACAAATACTACTTGTTGGTAGGACATCCACTTGCATCATGAAGAGCACTACCGATGGGACTCCCAAAGGCGGATACCTATGGGGGCCCCAAAGGCCAGCCACCAGAAGAGCACTACCGATGGGACTCCCAAAGGCGGATACCTATGGGGGCCCCAAAGGCCAGCCACCAGAAGAGCACTACCGATGGGACTCCCAAAGGCGGATACCTATGGGGGCCCCAAAGGCCAGCCACCAGAAGAGCACTACCGATGGGACTCCCAAAGGCGGATACCTATGGGGGCCCCAAAGGCCAGCCACCAGAAGAGCACTACCGATGGGACTCCCAAAGGCGGATACCTATGGGGGCCCCAAAGGCCAGCCACCAGAAGAGCACTACCGATGGGACTCCCAAAGGCGATACCTATGGGGGCCCCAAAGGCCAGCCACCAGAAGAGCACTACCGATGGGACTCCCAAAGGCGGATACCTATGGGGGCCCCAAAGGCCAGCCACCAGAAGAGCACTACCGATGGGACTCCCAAAGGCGGATACCTATGGGGGCCCCAAAGGCCAGCCACCAGAAGAGCACTACCGATGGGACTCCCAAAGGCGGATACCTATGGGGGCCCCAAAGGCCAGCCACCAGAAGAGAGACTGAAGCTAATAAAAAAATTAAATTGATTTAATGGTTGACCGACAAGTTTTGTCCGCAAATACCACCCCCCTCCCCCTCAAGGATTAAACCCTTTCTTTTCTTGTGTGTGTTGTTGTAGTGTGAACTTGTTGTAGGAGTGCCAACCAATGTCGCCCCGCATTTGCTTCCTTCTTGCTTTTTTTGTGCGCAGTTTCTATAAAGGAAAAGAATTAATTTAAAGAAAAATTTTTTATTGCCAGGAAAAACGCTCCTAGAACACCCCGTTCACTGATAAACCTGACTCCCCATTTATCCGTTGTGTCAGCAAAAGAAAAAATCGGTGGACAGAGCGAGGGAACATGGACTTCTAAAACCTTGATGCACACCATCAACAGGTGATCAGGTGCATAACAAATGTATCAGGCCCCAGGACCGAGCTATGGATCGACGCTTGACAGCGGATGCTTTCTCTTACAAGTCTACAAAAGAACCCCATCCCAATAAGGAACCACAAAAATAAAAAAACAAAACCTCAAATCATCAGCAACAAGTTCACAACATTTTTACAAATAGCAGATTGTTCCATCATTCGAGCTGGTGAAGGTGTTTTTAAACAATTTTTGTTGACATTTGAAGAAGGGGAAGACAAGAATCCATTCCATTGTTGTTTTGATGGAGAAATTGATGATTCATGGTGGACGTTGAAATAAAATGTTGTTTATTGAGAAACGTTGTTGTTGAAGCTTTTTGATGAAATAATTCCTCATCGATTTTTGAATTGTGTCTCTAAAAAATTGTTTTTAGAATAAAATAAATAAATCGTGATATTCACTTTTGGACTAGGTCCACAAAAGTGTTTATCAAACAAACAAAAAATTTATCGATGAACAAGAGACGCAAACAAATCAATATAATCTTTTTCTCTATCAAAAGCAAGAAATGAAACTCAAAAACAAATACTAATTAGAGAAGAAAATTATTTTCTCTGAGGGATTATTAGAGTCTTATTCCATATATTTTCTATAAGAAAGGTAAAGATAAAACTTAAAAGTTACCCAAGCGAAAGAGTCCGTCAGAAAAGTGGCGGGCAAAAATGGCGGGCTTTTTACTTTTTGTAAATTTCAAAATGTAAATTTCATAATGTAAACTCGATCAGACACTCAAACATGTAGTAATTAGAGAAAAAAATTTAAAACACCATAAAGAGAAGACTAGAGAACAAAAACTGGCGGGCTTTTCTCCCGCCAGAATTTCTTTTTGTATATTTCAAAATGTAAATTTCAAAATGTAAACTAGTTATAAATATTTTAAGATCCCAAAATAAAATTTTCAAATAAACAAAATTTTAAAATATTTTTTGTCGTCATTTCTCATTTCGGTAAATAATGGTAAATATTAAATTTGGACACGCGACATTTAATTTTTTTAATTTTGTTGGTCATTGGGAGAGACTAACTGCCTAGTGGATTTTTTATGGACGATTTTCCAACCCCAAGGTAGTATTGAAAATCGAAGTCGAGCCCAACTTGCCGCGCTTAGCAAAAAAATGTTTAATTATTTTCCCTGTCTCTCAAGAGTTAAAAAAAGTTTTTTTTTTAATTTCCCACATTATTTCCCCCCCCCCAAATTTTTATTTCCATGAGAAAAAGACAATTTTATTTTTAGTTGATTTTTACAAAATTTATTTTTAATTTTGGAATGTTACAACTAATTTATAACTCTCATCATCATTTTTTACAAAATAGCTACTTCCGACAACGTCCATCACCACCCAAAACTTTTAATATACTCCTCCAACAACTATTCTTACTTGAAAGATGACAACTTTGGTAATTTATATAAACTCAGGTTTTTTCTTTTTTAAATTATTTATGGGTATATTAAAGCCTTTTTATTTATACGAGGGATGTACCGGGTTATCCGAAACTCAGAAACCAGATTTTTTTGGAACACGGAAGCCGAAACCCCAAGAATCGGGAAATCCGGGAACCCGATTTTTGAAACTGAATTCTCCGCTCCTAAGAAATTTTTGAATCCGAAAGCAGACCTGACTTTTCTCTCAACCCGTGATATCCCTGCTTTATGCCCCGGTGTATTAGGAAAATTAACGGAGGCCGAAACCCGGGGTACCGGTTAATAACCGGTAGTGCACATCCCTGGTTTATTTACTATATTTTTTATTCTCTCCCATTCACCCAAAAACAAAAAGAAACCGCAACAACCCCTCCAAAAACATTTTATATTAAATAATAACTGCTCTTAATTCCGGAAAGTCTCTCTCTCATTTTTTTATTTTCATAAAAAGTAGGGCTACTCTCTTTTCTAACGGAAAATAACGAAAAGAAAAAAATAATAAAATGATTATAAAATAATCAAAGCAACTTTTGAATATAATTTTTTGTAGTTTAACCTTGTTTTTTTTGTTAATAAAAAATAAAAATTTTTTCTTCGTTATTTTCCAGTTTTATTTAATAAAGTTAAATAGGGGCCCGCCTATTTAAGAATGAGGAATTGAAGGTGGAAGATATTAGAATCCCAGAGGTGTTAGAGCTAAGTAGGGGTAATGGTTTCGACATGCCGCTTGATCTAGCATATAGCTGACCGTAATCAATAATATAAGCTCAGTTGGAATGTTCTTCAACTGGATAAAAGAGTGACTCACAGTCCAGGCCGACTGAAGCGCTTTTCCCTATTTTCCTTTTGATTATAAGCTTCTTCTCTATAGGCGGGTCTATCGCTTGTTTCTCACTGATTACACTTTGCAACTTCCTATTGCCTAGCGTATGAATTCCGCCTTTCCCTATTCACGTGAATTTCCTTTTTGGCCTTTTAATCAAAGTCCACCTAGCTCTCGGATTTAACTTTAGAGTCTAACACCTTCCACCCCACGGAAGACCGTCCCTGGTCTTATTTTTAATTTTAAATTACATTTTTTGAAATAAATTAGGCCCACCTTTTCTCTGCCTCTTTCTCACCACTTAATTTCGTCGGCAGTCTCTCGCCATGTGTCCACGGCCTCCACAACGGTTGCACATTCTGTCGCCCTTGCGACGACTTTCTTCAACCATTTGAATTTCTTTCCGCACTGCTTGTAGCGACCATCCTTTTCGGTCCTGTAGAATTCCGCCAGCCCCTCTTGAAGGATCCTCCATTTCCATCACCTCTAAATATCCTTCATTTACAATTGGGGTATGTTTTTGCGCTTCTTCTACGAACCGGGCCCAGACTTCCCCTTCGCTCAGAGATTGGAAATCGGCTATGATGACCATTCCATGCTGTGCGCGCGTCAGCGCTACCGTCGCGCGCCTCGAGTCTTTCAGAAATTCTGATGCAGCGGGCTTTGATTTTGCAGCTGTGTTCTGTGTGCGCGTAGTTACTAATACAACTAGCCTTTTTTCCTGCGCCTGAAAGGCATCCGTAGTATGTACTCCCACTTCTAAGCCCATTTCTCTCAATTCCTTACGGAGGCATTCCGCTTCATAAGAGTAAAGACATATCACCACCACTCCACCCGGGTCTCTTTTCTCTAGCGCTTCTACAATTCTTAGCGCTGCGTTATGTTGTTCGGGGTTCATGACACTATAAGACGCCGGGTCCACTTGGGTAGTCCCACAAATATTCAACAGCACTAGAGGAATGTTAGCGATAGGAAGATTTACACCCAAGTGCGTAAGTCCCTTTCTATCCTCCGCCTTTATTGCAGGTAAAACCTTTTCATTATGTTGGCGATATGAAGAGTAATCGAAACAGGTCACTAACGTGGGATGAGCTCTATAACACATTTCAAGAGCAGTCATGGAAATACGCGGACAGTGTTCAACCTGGCACGTAATCGATTCAAGTCCAAAGCCTGTGTGTAATAAATCCGGAAGATCCTTTAAATGCACCCCAATTTGTCTGAGATCTCCCGTCAAGAGAAGGGAGACCAGACTCGGCATTTGACACACTAGATGTACCAAAGAGGTGTACGAAACCTGAGTGGCTTCATCAACAACTAAGTGGGACGTGGAATTGTGTGCCCCGGGGATTGCCAATGCCATTTGTATAGTCGCAAACGCCACATTTCTAAAATCTTTTTCTTGTAATACCTTCCCTACTTTTCGTTCAGCAGCATGTCGAGGGCGGGTATCAATCATTTCCAAATATTTCTCAACATCCCTTATTTCGGGATTTTCAAGTTTGCTTTTATACTCATTTCGCTTAACTTTTGCAGCAAGGAGTTGCTTTTCTAAAACAGCAATGTGTTCATTATATCTGACTTTAGCCATACCGCTGAAGAAGGCGACCATGTCTTTGTCTGGCATAGTCCTTTCAACTTCCTCAACTAACCGGGAAATGGGTAAATTAGCTGCCGCGGTGCCAAGAACAGCGCACCCGGGCTTTTGGCTTACAGCTGCTGCCACACAGGCCGCTGCAACCCTGGTCTTTCCGGTCCCGGGCGGGGCTTGTTGATAGTGCACCCGCCCGGTCCCTTCATCAAGCCAGTTTGCAAGCGTGGCCTTCTGCTGTGTGTTTAGTTGGCGCGTGCATTCAAGGTCGAGATTCCCTAAAGCGGCTCCCCCCTTCAATTCGTCGGGCCCTCGACGACCAAGAATTGCTTTCAAAATTTCTGCCCTTTTCGATTTTTCTTTTTCAATAATTGAGGATGGTAAATTAAAGCCTAGAGTATTTGCCTGCGCTCTCATTCCGCCACCTTCTTCTGTGGTCCGAATGAATACATCTCCTCCTTCTACCATAAATTCAAAATCTTCTTCCTGCTCTATGGTTTCTGGGTTTGGCATCAAAAATATATCAATTTCAATGGTTATTAAATCTTCATATATTTTCTTTTCAATTTCTTTTATAAAACCATGACCAAATGCTTTTGAATACAGGTTTGTGTAAGCGGCAATGGATGTGTCTTTTGACCAAACTTCACAAATTTTCTTTGTGTAACTTCTGTCTGTGGATTCAAACGCTATAAAGAAATTTCTTCTTTCTCCTTTAACTCTTAAACCTACACTTCCTTGGAACATTGTTTCATATCTTGCAATCTCCTCAATTTCGCTAGCAGCTATAAGTGCGCCTGCCATTATGTTTTCTGCGAATTTTATTTCCTTAATTGTGTAGTCAGGAGTGATTGGGAAGAAAATTGGGGTTTTATTTCGTGCTAACCAACGCCATTTTTCTCGATGTGGCATGGCTATAGCTAGAACATGAGAATTTTCTTTGGCTAGAATTTCAGTTCCGTGTCTTATTCGTGACCCAGGTGGTAGTATATAGGCTCCTCCGATTAGCCACCCTTCTGGAATTTTCGCTAGTTGCATATCAAGCAGGCTTCCCCTTTGAAGATTCTCAAAGTCGAGATCTTCTGCGCATTGTCGGTTAAAAAGTTTCGCAGTTCGCTCCATTCCGAAAGCAACTACAAGCGCTGAGCCCATAGTATTTTTAACTTCTTTTCCTTTTCGCTTTTTAATATCCACAACAAAACCAGTGTTAAATACCCACGGGGCTAGCGAAACATCCAGAATTTCTAAAGCTATGGCCTGGGCATTAATTCGGCTCTGAAACATCCAGTTAGCTGTGTCAATTTCTCTTCTCCCCTCAATCCAATTATATTTCGAAATAATTACGCTGTCTCCTAAGCAGAGAGGCCTTTCCGAATCCAATTTTAATTCATCGGGTATTTCCAAAAATAAGGGCCATTGTTTCAAATCAGTCGGATTAGGGTGAACCGCAATCAATTTTTTGTCTAGCATCTGCGCTATGACATAACGTTTGACTTTCAAATTTTTACCCGATGTTTGATCATCGAGTGAAAAATAACTAGTAGATACCGAAGTATCCAATGATTTTTCTTTCTTCTTTTCCTTTCTTTTAACTTCTTTAAATTCTTCTTCTTCTGGGTGCGACAATGCCGCAAATCCTTCATTAGCAAATTTTGGAATTTTAGCATTTTTGTTTGTCTTCTTTTCCTCTTCCCAAGTATCCGATTTTTCCCACTCGTCAGTCTCCATATCTTCTTCGAGTAAGAGCTTTTCCATGCTCTCCGTCACTTCTTTCGGATCTAATCCTTTCTCTTCTTCAGTTTTTTCCAGAATTTTATCAATTTCAACTTCTTTTTTCGATACCGTAGTATCAAGATTTGGATTAATAACTGCTCCAGCAGGTATTAATATAGCAGTAGATACCGAAGTATCCAAGTTAAAATCAGAAGATGCACTAGCACCCGCTGAGACATTAGTAGATACCGAAGTATCCAATTTTGAATGAGTGATGCCAGGAATTGTTGTAAAAACTCCACGGCCTTTTCGACGTATTTCAGGTTTTTCTTTAAATTTTTCCATAATTAACTGAAAATAAAAAAAATTTAAATTATTATTGAAATAGAAAAAAAAAATTGAAATAATAACGCGATCAAAATGGAGGATTAATGTGAAAGGGGAGAAAAATAATTTTGGAAAATTATGGATTTGGAATGTGAAATAAATTTTAAACCGGGTATGGAATGAGATTTATTTTGTGTGTGTATTTATTTACCATAAGTTTTGTGTGTGTATTTTTGGAAAAGTCTAGTTTTATTCAATGGACAGCCTACGGGGTTTTGGATTTACCCTTAAGTTATATCTCTTTTGTTTTTGAGGTGGGATTTCTTCTAACTCTGGACTCTTTTCTCTCTCAACTGTATTTCTAACCTTTTCAATTTCGTTATTATTTGTAAAGTCTTGTGTCTCGTTTCCTCCTAAGCCTGCCTCATATAGGCATTTCTCTTCTTCAGGTGATAATTTGGGACTTGTACAAGCAGGGGGTAATTCTTCAAAACATTTCTTTAATTGGTTTATGTGTACTACCCTTGGAGCTGCGCTAGGTGAGTTGCAACTAGTAATTGTTACGTGTGGTCCTTCTATTTTTACAGCCCTGAATATACCTTTCCAAGGCATATGAAATTTCTTCGAAGTTCCTACTTTGCCTGCATAATTTCTCAAGAGAACTCTGTCTCCTACCGTTATTGTGGGGTTTCTTAATAATTTATCATATTGTTCTTTAGCTTTTAGTTGCGCGTGCTTGTTCGCTTCCGCGGCAGCTTCCCATGCAGTCCTTATTGATGTGACTAATTTTTGTTTAAATTCGGAAATGTCATTGCTAATCATAGAGTTGCTTATCGAAGGGTCTATTATTTGATCTATACAAAATATGGGATCCCTTCCAAACATCAGGAAAAAGGGTGTTTCCCCTGTAGAAGTGTGAATTGATGTGTTATAGCAAAAGCTTGCGGCGTCTATGAGTTCGTCAAAGTCTGGCTGGTCTTTACTAA